TACACTTTCGCGCCTCCCTATATCGATTTTTCTAACGTCACCTCCTGCACGCTCATGCTTTATGGTAGTTTCGTGGCTCCGTGCTCTTTTGATTGACGTTTGACAACGTCTGAAACAAGGAACACCGACGACGCGAAACAAGCAAGTTGCATTTCCGTTGTAATATCACTGTGTATGTCACTCAGAGACTCAAGGTCCAGGTCTAGGTCTAGGTTCTAGAGCATAAAATGCTCTAGGAATAATAGCAATTTGTAATTATAATTATCCGTAGCCCTTACTAAGGGGACGGTACTGTCCCACACTGAACAATGTCCAACACGATCGATATTAATCTCCACCTTTCGCTGTTCTAAATGTAGAGGGAAAGGTCTCGAGTACCGAGTAATTAGATGAATCGGCGTGCATGCCGAGCGAGCGACTAGTTTCGCAAAGATCCTCTTACACTTGTAAGAGTGCGTTCGTCGCGATCGTCGGCGTTCGCCAATTACGTCAAAGATGCTAATCGTATCGGGTCTACTCGTCCACACCGCGATATTTCACACCGCGAGGAGGTTCATCTCTGCTGTTAAAGGTCAACGTCCTTCGTCGCGGAATAATTCTACGTTAGGATGTTGCCGACACGACAACGTCGAGGGGGAGGGGGGAAAAAGACCGCGAAGGCCTTTATAATCACCGGCGCGATAGCAATGGGATGAATGCGATTCGAGCGCGAGACGTACTGTTTAGCGTTCCTTTGACTCTCTTACACGCGTCGCTCTATGCCGCAGCTTTTTCACCTCCGACTTTCTCGCGGATCCTAACCTCCCGGAACGATTCATCGACGAGCGAACACTAGCGAACGGACACCGTGCCACCACGTCGGTAGTCGCAATTATAGAGTATGACTGCACAGATTCGTTCGGTAATTTGTTATCATTGAATAAACACACATCGAAAGGGACAAGTGGGTGGAGAAGGCGATGGCTCCGACAGGAGAGGTTCTCCTTTACTCACGCTCGAGGATCGTAATCTTCTAACGACCGCGGACCACTTTCTTCGCCCTCTGCCTCTTCGTTCTCGGCCTCCTTTGTATCGATCCAACCGCCTCTCTCGCCTGTGCGCTCTTCGAGTAAGCGCGCGAAACTCTCGATTGGAAGAATCGCTGTAGGATTGAAATCGTCGAGAAATCGCAGGGGAGATCCACAGCGACAGCCAGCGGATGATCTTTCTTCTGGTAGCCTCGATAACTAACGTGGGATGATAGCTTGGCAAACTAGCGATAAAATCTCGAAGCCTGTACCCGTACTCCGATGCATCGATATAACGTAATCTCTCGGTTTCCGCGAAATAACACGAGGCTGAATCTCGTAGATTGCCTTCGACGGGATGGAAAGATCCGTACGCCGGGGATGGAAAAGAAAAAAAGAAAAAGAAGAAAAGAAATAGCGTCGTCGCTTATAATAAATCCCCGGCGTGCAAGAGAGGACGTTTTAATCCGCCCCTGGGCCTCGCCGCGCACTGGGCTTGTGCGCGGCCCCGTACCTACCGTGAATAAAGAGATATCTCTCCTCCTGGCAACAGGCGGTAACGTCTAAATTAAATGTTTCTGGATCGACGAGCCCACGGATTCAACGTGTCATGCGCCGCTCTTAATCTGGATTTAACGGCCAGGTCTCCGGCGTGAGGCCACCTTGCGGTGCCTGACCGCTTCAATAGAGCTTAATTGGCGAATACTCGGGCTGTGTGTGCGCGCTTCGTATAGAGACCGCGTAGAAAGAGATAGCACACA